TGGAGAGGGGGGGGTATGGGAAGTTGGACAGAGAATTTTTGGTTGTTATGTTCAAGAATAGCTTACAAAAAACTTACGAAATTCCAGAAAACTTACGAATGCCAGAGAAGCTGGTGGAAGGCAATGGTTGTAAGGATGTCAGCCCTGAGCTGCTTTGCTGTAGGGTCCTGAGATGTACTGCTTAACTTCCAAAGAAGCAAAGTCACCTCTTCCCAAAAATACTGGGGGAGCCAGAAATAAAAACTAGGAGAAAGAGACATTGAAATCTCAGTGTCCTAAAATGGGGAAGTGGAGGGAGGAAAAGGCACCAGTGCGAATGGCAGCTGCCTGGGAATTAACAGGGCAGGAGAAGGTACAATGTCCCAGCCACTGGGGAGCTTCAGTTAGTGTCTGCATCTTGGGCACGCACGGAGTCACCCGCTTGCCACAGGAAGCCAGTCTGCACTCACCCCCTGTTCCTAGAGCTGCTCACTGGAATGATGAGGAAAATTGGACTATTTGGAGATACCAAAATGCTCTTGGGTTTTGTTCATCTTCTAAATTATCTAACTTCATCAGTTTGAAGGCACCTTCATCTTACAGCAAAGTCAACAAATGAGTGAAGTAACATACCTAGCGTGCCTGCTAGCCCAATTTCTGAGTTGAAAGGAAGCTTTTCATTATTAGATTGAAATTCCAACAGCTGCCAAGGTGCTAAAGGCTTGTCCAGAGGTTATCTGACAGGTTTCACTGCTGGTCTGCCCCTTAAACCCACCCTAGGCTCACTTCTGGTTTTGTGTGCCATGCATTACCCGAGTTGTTCCAGAAGTTGGTAATGCAAAACTAGCAGATGGGAGAGGCCTAAGCATGGATACAGCAGAGATGGGATTGCCATCTTTTTCTCAGGCTTGTATTTTACAAAAAAAAAAACAAAAAACAAACAAAAAAAACCAAAACAAAAAACACAAAACCAAACAAACAAAAAAACCAAAACCCCCAAAAGTTCAAGATTTTGCTGTACCTGAGCTTACTTAATAAGACTGAAACAAGCAGTCTGACAGGTAAAACTGTTTCAGTATTTGAGTGTTTTTATAAAATTAGTCAGATGTTGAAGAAAAAGACTATCAACATTTCAGGGCATGTTTGAACTTCAGTCATTAATTCTGCTTCTTGTTTGCAGTCTGTGAGCATAAAGTTTTCTTTAAAGTGAAATTGCCAGTGTTTCACAGGCCAAACAAAATATGATTTTGTAGGTCATAGGATTGACAAAATTTTAAACAAACAAAACCCCTTCCCTTTGAGTCTGATTCATAGTAGAAGTCTAGCTTAGGAAATAATTTGAAGGAAGACATAATATGATGTAAATGTGTAAATCAGTGTGCTATTAATAGCAGAAACTTATTTGGAGTACAATTTTGTAGTTCTAATAGCACTCATCCTCCTAATGAATATTGTATATGAGACCATGTTTTTTCCGTAGCAAAGCAGACATGTCGCAGGATTTAGCTTGTGTCTGGGGAGGCTGTAATCTGCTGTTTGGTGATGTGACATGAATATTACCAGTGATTTTATATATTAAGATGTCTGACTACACAGAAGTCATTTGGTCAGACAGCATCTTTTAATTATTAGCTGGAATCTCCCTTTCTTGGATAGACCACCAGAGAACACCCTTATCTTTTTTTATTAAAAGTAGCATGGTTTCTTTTTTGGGTTTTAGTTTAGGGGTTTGGATTATTTGTTTGTTTGTTTGTTAGGGGCTTTTGTTGTTGTTTTTTCTCTTTTGAGATTTTGCAGAGATGACTAAAAGGCTTTGGTTGGAACTGAGATATGATCTCCATTGATATTTATTTCATGACCTGGCAAGAAAAAGTTGTGGAGGAGAAAGGCGATCTAAACTGAATGGCTGAGATAGTGAACCTGGCAATGCTTCAGGCACTGGGTATCTCTGTACAGAAGTCAATTGTGATCCCAGTGATCTTGCAGTGGTAGCACCCTTGGAAGTGAGCTATCCTCATCTGCTGTTGGAGGGCACTCATGGGGTACCCATGAATGCTACTGTGCTAGTCACCCACTGTGAAGATAACAGATTTTATCCCTCTCTGGAGCAAAATGCTAATATTACAGGATTCCTAAGTGGTTTGGTAGAGGAAATGAGGAACGATTGCCTCACATTTACTTTTAAGACATGGGTAAGAAGCTAGATAAGCAGGTTAAAAGCTGTCTTGTCAAACAAATGAACAAAAATGTCTGATCTTTGGTGCATTGGATGTGCGAGGAGTTGAAGATGGAGGGCAGGTGTACACACAGTGCAGCGGTGGCACCTGCCTGGACAGAGGCTTCCAAATAATGCATTTGCTATCAGTCTCTCTTGTCTTTATTGTTGATTTTTTCAGTTGTTGAAATAAGTCAAATTGCAACTGTTACTGTGTTAAGTGTACAATCTGGAGTTTATAATAATTCTCACTGTTTTTGTTGAGCTATGGTGTTCTGTTCACCCACCAGAGGGAGATGCTTTTTACTGGATTATATTCAATTTTTTAAAAATTGCCCATAACATCCTAGCTACATCACAGTGAGTTATGTTAGTATTTGATAGGTAACTCTTGCCCTGTGCTTGTGTAGCGTGGCTCACCCCCAAGGAACCCCAAAGCATTTTACAGGCCTGGTACCACATGAAGGCACACAATGCACGCACAGGAATGGCTTTCACCCACCACTGCTGTGCAGTCGCTTCTTGGGTGAAATGTAACAGCTGCTTGTCAGCACGCTGTAACACTCTATGGTATCTTGAAAGGAACTGAATAGCACTGTGGCAAATTGAAACTGGTGAGACAATTTAAGAAAGTATAATTACCCAATAAACACAGTTACACAGACTGGAGTTTGGCCAGGAGACTGAACTGTTCTTGTGGAAAGTGCAGCAGGATCTGCGATGGTCAGAAGCAGTCGGGACTTCCAATGTTACATTTCTCACACAAAATCACCTCCTCTTTCCCAGTATCTTCCAAATGTTGTTGCTGGAGGGTGAGCTGCTGGTGCAGTGGGGACTGGAGGAGCTGAGCACCAGGCACAGCACTCCCAGCCCTGTGTCCTTCTCTCCCATGCAGGAGCTGGGCAGGCAGCATCCTGCTTCACTCACAGAGGTCTGGTGGGATCATGGTGGGCTGGTACAGCTGGCAGCCAGAAAAGCTGCTTTGCTATTT